CCCCCCACAGACATGCTTAGGTGAATTGGACTTGCCATATTGCCCGTAGGTGTGTGTGATTGTTCCCTGTGATGATTTCATCCTGGGTTGTTCCCTGCTTTGCACCCATAGCATCCAAGATAGGGTACAGAAGATGGATGGATGGTTGTTGCAGATTTATTAGTTTTATAACAAAAGTCTATTGACAAGCGGTGTTTAACATACCTGGACATGTTTTCCCCACAGACTTTTTCTTCTGAAGTGTCATCATTTTTTGATTGTGCAGATACTTGCGTCCTTCCCATTCTGCTGGTAATTGCATTTGTAGTCTCTGGCTCCCAAAGGGACACTAAACACAAATATTTGGTGTTTTATGTTATTGCAAAGGTGTTGCTAATTAAAAATCCCCCAATGAGACTTGTCAACAAACTTTTTAACAGCTCTTTTTAGAACTGTAATTTAGGTTTCAATTTATTACTACTTGAAAGTAATGTTTTTCTTAAAATTACTGGTTGTTTCTAATGTGGTATATATTTTTTGTAAAAAAAATTATAAAGTAGTAAACCAATAAATTTGCAATGAATTAAGCAAGCATCCCTAGATACTCTGTGTGCACTGTGTATTTACAGGCATTTACATGGAGAGCGGACAGGAATAACTGACATGCATAACAGAATATTAATATGACAGCTTCACTTCTTGCTGTCAGCCTAGTCCAGTGATTCCCAATCCGGTCCTGGGGGGCCACAGACAGCCCCTGTTTTCGTTCCCTCCCAGCTTCCAATAGGGAGCAAAAATGTGGACTGTCTGACAGGGAGATTGGAGGGAGCAAAAACATGGGCCGACTGTCGGTCCCCGAGGACCGGATTGGGAAGCACTGGCCTACTCCTAAACCGTCTGTAATGGGATGTGAGATTTCCTGCAAATTAGAAAAGTAGCCTCCAGGTTTTTCAGGGATGACAGAAGCTGGAATGTACTCTGCGATCTGCACTACAGAACTGCCGGTGAATGTTCTGTGATGTGTGGGTAGTAATTGGGGAGGTCAGGGCAGGCTTCTCGTTCGAGGAACCATTCCCGGATTCGTTTAGCACTCTGTACCGACGCAACATCATCTCGGAATGTGGAGAAGCTGCTGCAGTCAAACAGCCTCATCCTCCTTGGCTCTTATGCAGCCGTGCAGAGCAATCATCAGAGATAACTCCTCCCATGGGATCGCTGCCATACCTTTTATGTATCTCCAGCCATGGTTAACTTTTGACAGGAGATATTGAAGTGTATTAAAGGAATTCTTAAACTTTCTCCACACATGAACTTTTGTGGGAGATAAAGAGGTAGATGATTCATCAAGCCATGTAACTTTTTTCCATTGATCAGCGGTTGATGTTATGCTTGTTATACAAGGTTGTGCATCTTTGTGCTTTGGCCTTGGGTTCTTGCAGTCTGTGAATGGCCATCAGCTCCAGCTTGCTGAAGCTCACATTGTAGGGTTTGTGTGGCGGCTGGATCAGAGAGCCGATTCAGTCCCGTCTTGATTTTTGACGACATACTATTTACTATTTACTTCTGATTCCTGACCTTAGATGCTCGTTGCCAAATCCGCCCCTGCTTAGTATTTTCTGTCATCATTTCTAAGATTGGTCTTGTTGACACGTTAAATAATTTAGCAGGTTTTGTGACCGATGCATTTGCAATTCTGGCTCTGACTGTTTGGCTTCTCTTTGAATATCTCAGTTGCCTCATAATATTTTTAAAACTCGCATCAAAGTGAATCTCTGACCTCCTGTAAAGTAGGACACATGCCGCAAATTGGCATCCATCCTAATTTAATTGCAGTGCCAGTTGTAAACGTGACTTTTTAAAATTGCAGATGTTAGTACTGTGCATATTTTTTGTGTGCTGGTTTTTTTAATCTGGTTGTAAAAAAAATATCATGAACAATCAAACATGAGTGTTGCATGGATGATTAAATTCAGAGTTTTCCAAGAAAATTTGTCTAACTTCAAATGGAGATAAAACTTATAATATTCACTGCTACCCGCTTCACTTATGTTGTTTCAAGGATTATCAGTTTGACTGACGTTCGAAACGGAAAATAAATTACATCCACAAAACGCTCCATGTCGACAATATTACGATATTATTGCAAATGATTAATGTTGTTCACGTTGTCCAAAGGGCATTGCATGAGAACTCTTTGATGTAAAATAAAATGAAATTACTGTCAGCAGAGCAGACTTCCATTTCTCAGTTCAGTACTGCTGAAGATGTGTTAATATCCTGTGATTAAGAAATACGTCGGTCATCAGTTTTACGAGACGGCGATGATGCTGTCGCTCTCCCCTCGTATTTCACTGTACCTTTTACACTTTAGAGGCACACAGGCAGACCAGTACTACAAAAAAATACTACAAAAAGACCTGTTTTCTTAGAAATCAGGACGGGTCACTGCCCATGTTACTGGCTTGGCTTTGAGTTCTGAGACTTGCATCTTTACATGTTGTTGACATGGATTCTGGCTGATTTTATCTATTTCTTCTATGATGTTTTGGGTGAGTTGATAGATAAATCAATCCATCCATATTGTGTAAATACACTATTATCGCTCCTGGGTTCTGGATCAACTGAATACTCCTGTGCCTCTCCAATATAAACAGGGACAGCACTGCAAGGAGTGAAGCTGTCATGATGACAGAGGGTGACCCTACTTCTTAAATCCGGGCCCTTCCGCCGGCCCTGAGAATAAACACACTTTTTCCGGGATGTTTTGTTCTCGACGCAGAACCCAACTTCGTGTCGTCCTACGACATCGGCAACTTCACCTACTTCTTCTTCCGGGAGAACGCCGTGGAGCACGACTGCGGCCGGACGGTGTTCTCGCGCGCGGCTCGCGTCTGCAAGAACGACGTCGGGGGGCGTTTCCTGCTGGAGGACACGTGGACCACCTTCATGAAGGCGCGCCTGAACTGCTCCCGGCCAGGCGACATCCCCTTCTACTACCACGAGCTGCAGGGCACCTTCTACCTGCCCAAGCTGCAACTCCTCTACGCGGTCTTCACCACCAATGTGTACGTGTCTACCCAGAATGCTCTGCTCTGGGGGCCGGCATTCTACTACCAGTGCTTCCCTTAGATTACCCTTGTTTCTGATGTATATCTTCAGCATCCATTTACATCTTAACTTGTCTACTGTTGCGGTCTTTAAGGCAGGATACATATTTTTTCTTTCATTTTGCACATGAAGATAAGTTTTCATGTTTACATGACCACCGCCGCCCCCAAGCACATCTCCCCATTCTTATCAGAGCTGCAATTTTCTTTCCATTCCATGCACTTTCCTCTGCAGATTTATTCAAAATGACAGCCTGAAATAAAGACGTTACCCCGTCTTGGTGGATCGGTGGTGGAAATCGAGTTGGAATGGGCTCGCAGGAATCGGGGCTGCGTGCTTGTAATCGTGCATGTCTGTCTGTTTTCGCGCAGGAACAGCATCGCTGCCTCCGCCGTGTGCGTTTTCAATCTCAGCGCAATTACCCAAGTGTTCAATGGACCATTCAAGTACCAGGAGAACTCGCGCTCGGCCTGGCTGCCTTATCCCAACCCCAACCCCGACTTCCAGGTAACCGCGGGCCGGGGGGCATGGCCGCATTGCAGGGGGGCCGCCGTGCTGCTCGCATTTGACGTCGCATGTCCGCAGCAAACCCGCTTGCCTGTATCACAGCACATCTGACAGACTTTTTCCAAAGCAGGCAAAATACGCAGTATACTGATGTAACGCTTTATGATGCCTTTGTTACATATCAGACAGTAGTTCAGGTTGTTTTTTTCCGCAATAAAAGTTTCAATATATAATTATATTTTGCTTGATTCTCATGCTATGGATCTATAACACTAATGTATCCAGTGGATTCCATATTATACCATTATAAGGCAGGAAAATGCAGCCTTGTATCATCTCATCTCTCTATGCCAGTGTTTCCCAGCTCAGGGACCCACAGTCGGTCCTCGTTTTTGCTTCCTTCCAGCTCCCTTCCAGACAGTTCACAGTTTTGCTACCGAGAGCTGGGAGGGAGCAAAAATGTGGACTGTCTGCGGGGCCCCGACGACTGGATTGGGAAACACTGTTCTGTGTTATTTAGTTGCAAGTCAGTGCTGAGAAATTATTCCCTTCAAGCAATTATAGATAATCATTCCATAGCCAGATTAACTAAACAATGTACTTTTTGGAGAGAAAAAAATTAAAATTTACATCCTGGCTGCACAGGGTAACAGTGTGAAGTGGCAGCAACATGTTAATTTCACATCCAGTTAAGTTTGATCCTTTCAGTATGCTACTAAATGACTAAATAGCTGCTTTATGCTGATGTCGTTGCATCCTTGAGACTCCCAGAATGCATCTCTCTGCCTGGTGGATCCCCGGGAGCCAGAGGGTCTGTCTCAGCATCAGGAACCTGAGAGCTGATGCCCTCTGAAGTTCTGGCCCGCATCAGGCAGCCTGAGAGTTCGGTTATCCTCCGTAAAATGATTAAATAGTGCCCTAGACAGGAAATGAAGAGCATTTAGTGTTTTTGGCTCCTGTGACTGTTCCGCAATTGAATGTGGTCTGTCGTGCAATTTGATCACCAGCTGGTACGGAATTAATTTTGCCGTAATGATAAAAAAATGTGCTTTGCTGGATGTTCTAGACAAGTGGCTCTCTAACCGCTCCTCAGGGCCCCCCCCCCTCCCCGGCTTAGCCCAGCACACCTGATTTAGACCTGATAAATTATTTGATTATCTCGGGTAATTATTTGCGGTCGTGAGGCAAAGCAGACATGACAGGCTTGAGAAGCGCTGATCTAGAGGAGCTTACCGAGGCGAAGACGCTAAAGCAGCAAAGATAACTGAAGCTGGAGCGCTGACTTCTCTGGCACTAGTGCGGCACAATCGACTACGGCAGCAACGTGAACCTGACGGAGAGGAGCCTGCAGGACGCGCAGAAGTTCATCCTGATGCAGGACGTGGTGCAGCCGCTGGGGCCCAGGCCCACCTTCACGGAGGACAACGTGCGCTTCACGCACCTGGTGGTGGACGTGGTCCAGGGCAAGAACAGGCTCTTCCACATCATCTACCTGGCCACAGGTGAGGTGACCGCTGCCCCGATCACGGGGGTATCCCTGTATGAGAGTGAGAGAGCACCGCAGCCTCCCGATCACAGTGTGTGCGTGTTAGTGGAAAGGAATTCACTGTTCAGCCTGTCTTTGCTAGTTGCCGGACTTCCTCATCTCGGTGGGGGGTCCAGCTCAGACGCTTGTAAGATCTGAGTGGGTCTTCAGAGGGGAAAGGATACCCTGGCGGATTCGGGGGCCGCAGCACTTTATAGGGGCCCTGAACAAGTGAAATTTCCTGTAAAATTGAATGGGGGGCCAAGGTGACATTTTGTCCGAGGACCCAGAATTCCAGGTTCTAGGTACGCCCCTCTTCAGAGGGTGTTTCTTGGGGGAGCTCAGGGCTGCCATGACGTTCCTACCCTGCATCCCTCGTCACAATGCGCTGTATCGCATAGACTCAGCTGCTTTCCTGGGTGTCGGTCGGTAGGGTGGACCTGACTGTGAACAGTCTCTGCTGGACCTTTGCTTTACTGTGCTGCCTCTGCTTTTTATATTGCTCAGTTCTTACTGGTGCAATGATTCGAAACACATTTCCCCAGCAAGCAACCGTATAGACAAAGACCAGCCATCATCACTGTTGAGAGAGCTGCTAACTGTTACAATTTGGACCCCCCCCCCGTGAATATCCTTTATTTTATCTTTTATTTTCCTTTACCTTTTGTCTTTTTATCAGATTCTTTGGTGAAAAACAGAATAATTCATCCTAACGGGCATAAGCGCTGATGTATGACCTACTGTGCAGACTACCTCTTAAAGTTGGCTTTTCTCGATGTTAATGTATTCATTTTAGATGCCCTGGACTTTCCACATGCTGGGATTATATCTCTTGTGTCAGTGCAGAGCATGAAAGGGGCGATGTCACACTGCAGCATCCAGCATGGCTCCCCACAGGCCATCGAATCAGCAGCACCGGGCACCCCCCACCCTAAATGCTGACGCCAGCGTGCTGCCTCTTCTTCACTGTGCTGGTGTTCTCTGGGGGTCTGGGACCCACTACAGCCCATTGCCTGCAGATTGATGGCTTCCTTTTATAACCATGATCTCATTGTTTTCAGGGATGCAATTAGAGTTTGCAAATTGAAAACATGTGCAATGAACTTTAGGATTGCAAACCTAATAGTAGTGATTAATATGTTTGCGTGTTCCTTGTAAATTCGATAGTGTTTATAGACTGTAAGAAAAATGGCATCCATGTGAGAGCTGAAATGGATGTGAATGTGGGAGGGTTCAGCAGGGCTGAGGCAGGAGAGGGCAGCATGTTCTTACACAAGCAAGTGAAAATACACAGACATGAATATGGGATCATTTTAGTCAGTTATGCTAATTATGTAAATCATTTGCTATTATGTGTTAGGAATTTGCTGCTGGCTGCTTGTGTTACACAGCACCGGGTGATTCACCTGAAGATGGTTAAGTTATGAATAACCTAAGAGGAGCACTTGTACATTCATGGATAAATGAACCGACCCCCCACCCCCAAAACACTGAAACTGAAGAATTAGTGTGTGTGTTGTGTATGTGTTACATTGTGGGGACAAATGATAAAAGCCTATTATTTTGATGTTGTGGGAACCAACATTTGGTTGGGGTGGTGCTGGATGGTTCGGGGGGGTGATGGACGGTCGGGGGTGCTGGATGGTTGGGGGGTTCCTGACCCGCGTTAGTGTGGAGTTTAGAAGGAGAGATATTTGATCTCTTCAGATTAGGTGCATGTCAAGACAACTGTAAAGAAAAAAGCAGGAAGCGGCTGCTCTTATTAGTGCAGAGCTGATGGGAATGATGAGGCGGCGAGAGGGCAGCGCCGCTGGTCCTCTGCGGCTGAAAGGTCAGCCAGCCGTAAGCCTGACAGCTGGATTTAGCTGCGAGACACGCCCTCCACACATTAACATGTGTCATGAATAATCTAACGTAGGGGGGCAGGAGACGGAACAAAAAAACTGGAATCAAAGTGAAAGAATTTGATTTGACTGTTCTCCCCAGTGTCATTTAGAACAGCTTAAGACTTGCTGTGAATTCATAATAAGAATATATATAACAGAGAATCTGGGAATGCAAGTTCCCCCATCGTGTGTGTGTGTGTGTGTACACACATCTGTGCACAGACACACACACAGGTTCCCCCCTCCTCTAACCCCGAGATTCGGGCCTCTGTTGGACCCTGGGACTGTGGCAGGGAGGGAACCAGGCCCGGTCCGTAATGGTTTGCCGTGCGGGCATGAGCACGATTGCCAGATGTGAAAATTTGCATAGTGAATGTAAAATTACGGAAGGGGTCCCAACCCTGGTCGGTGAAATTCACTTGACGGGCTGCTGACATGATGCAGGGAAACCCTGTGCCAACCCTTTTTTGGGGGGAGGGGCACACCCTGGATGGGATTCCAGTTCATTGTAAGACAATCATACTCCATGGGTAATTAAGAGGCACCAATTAGTGTAACAGCATGTCTTTGGACTGTGGGAGGGAAGTAGAGATTCTATCGGAGACCCAAGCAGCACGGGGGGGAGCGTGCAAACTCACGGGTGGAGCGTGCAAACTCACAGGGGGAGCGTGCAAACTCACAGGGGGAGCGTGCAAACTCACATGCACAGAACAGAGACAGGAGTTGCATTCCTACTGCTGTACCAACATTGCCATGCAGCTACCTAGAGAAGTTCTAGTAAAATATCCAGCCGTATATTTGGTAAAAATGTTTTGCAAGAAAGCTTCAGCCAATTTTGAGTCATGGCACACAAAAGCAAAGTCAATTTCAGACCAGTGTTGAGGTTTGTAGCTGAGAGGCAGTTTGCTGAGGTTTGTAGCTGAGAGGCAGTTTGCTGAGGTTTGTAGCTGAGAGGCAGTTTGCTGAGGTTTGTAGCTGAGAGGCAGTTTGCTGATCTTCTTTTGCACCCCTTCGCTGGCAGATTACGGGACCATCAGGAAGGTGCTCTCCCCACTCAACCAATCGACGGGCAGCTGTCTGCTGGACGAGATCGAGCTCTTCCCGCCGGGCCGGAGGCAGCCAATCAGGAGCCTGCTGCTTCAGCACGGCCGCAGCGTGCTCTTTGTGGGTGTCCAGGATCAGGTGATCAGGGTGCCGCTGGTGCGCTGCGGCTTCCACAGGACTCGTGAGTAAGTGCACCGGTTAACCCCTCCCCCAAAGCGACAGGCGCGGTTCCTCGGGGCTGCCTGTGGCGGTGGCTCAAGGCTGCCCCCTGGCCCTGGAGGCAGTAATGGCCAGTAATGCCTCCTGGCTAGGCCCCACACAGGCCGCCTCTGAGGCACGGTTAACGAGCTCGCTAGGGCCGATATGGCATTATGAATAATAACACTTCATGAGACGCGGCGCTTCCCAAACAGCTTTGTCCCCCCACCCCCCCACCGCACGGCGGTAGTTGCATATTAATCAGCGCATTACATGCGAACGGCTGTCTTATCTGACAGAGCAGAACCCGGGCTTGCATCCGCCGTGCCGAATCGGGGATACGTGTGCATTTTTTATGGAATGTCGCCCATCTGCGGCCAGGATCGCCGCGTCCCTTTCGTCCGATAAAGGGACGGGACGGCAGATTTAATCCCCCGGCAGTCAGATGCGGCCTGGCATCTGCGTGCTTCCTGTGTGTGACCGGAGCGGCTCGCTCGCTGCCTGCCTGCTCGCAGGGGAGAGCTGAAGTGTTTTGTAATGCACCAGCACCGGACCTTGTTCCTATACCCGCTTATTAATACCCCATCCCCGAAGCCATGAAGAGTGATGTCTGATTAATCTGTGTGGTAATGAATGTGTAAAAGTGTGAGGGACACTGTTTGCATGCAGATGTAAGTGTGGCTCTTTGGAAAGACAAGATCAACAGCAGCGGCAATGGCTGGCGCAGTACTCAGCATTTAAAGGCGATGTCGTGCATGGGAGAATACTCCCCTTTAATCCTGCGTAGTGTCCCCAGCGTATGGATAGCCCTGTTCCAGCCCTGTTCTAACCTTTTACCATCGACTGTTCACAATTCAGATGTTGTCACTCTTGTTCAGAGTGAGCTGTGAATGGGGTTTTTGCCCTTGTTAGATTTTAACCTCTCTATCCATTGTGTAGAACTGGTGTATCAAATCAACTCCGATCAAAATTTAATTACCAAATGCACAACAGTACAGCAGGCAGCGGCAGATGCAGCCAGTGAAGGACTTTCCCTTCATCTCCCTGTAGTAAGTGATACATATGAGCAATGAAGAAGGAATATAGTAAGTAGAAATAGTAAAACAGTTAAAAATTAAACAAAGGAACAAATAAATAAACAATAAATAATTAATAAATAATTATTCCGGCACTCATTTGGTAAATTAAAGTAATTGTATGACTGTTGTTATTAATTAGAGGTTGACTGAAGCCATAGACAAAGTGCATCACCTGGCATTAGCGTGTTAATAATGGGCTTTGGGCTGCGTCCGACTGCCGGCTCCGGAGAACGGGAGATAATTACGGCCCTCAGACCTGGCAGGCCTTCACGCGACCCGACTGGACACCCCTGGTTCTGGAAGGCAGGCTCCTCTCATTATTGCGATGTTGTTGGTGCCCTGCCGAGAGCGGTGTGCTACTGCCCTAATGGGGACTCGTCCGTACTGCCGCCCCCCCACCCCGGCTCCCCGTCGGAGCTCGGACATAGTAATAATAATAATAATAATAATAATAATAATAATAATAATCTTTATTTATATAACACTTTGCACTCGTGAAATGCAAGTCAAAGTACTTTAGATAAGAGATAAAAAGCTAAATAAATAAACAGATGGAAGAGTGTGACAGAAACAAATAACACTGGTGGTAAAAGAAGACAAACAAATAATACCACAATGATGTAAGTGAACAGGAAAATAATAAAGTACCATGAACTGGCTAAATTGCCAATCTTCAAAGATGCATTTTCAGTAGCTCTTTAACTCGATCAGCTTCTCTGATGTCTGCTGGCAGTGTGGTCCATAGTCATGGAGCTTGATAGCTAAATGGTGCTGTGAGATTCACGCCCCCGTTCTGTGGCTCCCGCAGGGCCTGTCTGGGGGCCCGGGACCCCTACTGCGGCTGGGACCTGGGTCTGAGGCGCTGCACGGCGCTGGAGGAGAGCCTCAGCATGAAGCAGTGGGAGCAGAACATCAGGGAGTGCCCTGTGAGTGCCGCTCTCCGACTCGCCCTCGCTGGCTGACTGGCCACTGCTGCGCTAATCAGTGTCCCACCCCCCCGCTGGCATTTCTATACAGTGTTTACTGTAGCTAAAACGGTGGCAAAACAGCTTAAAAGGAACCTATTTCCTCGGTGCTTTTAGGCGATAAATGTGCCATTGAATTGTATAAAAATGCTTTTCTCAGCTTATTCATAATTGTGTACGCTCTCATTTTGCTGAATAACAGGGGAAGTTGGGAACACGCTTTCAAGTGGGATAAAACCCCTGTATTGTGTCGTGAATGGATGACAGCTAAGCTTTCCTTTGTGTCGTCGGCTGTCTGTTTTTATGTGTTTCTAAGAGCTGCTGGTTACACTCGTGCTGAGCCAGACTCTGTACCAGAGACTTACGGTGTAAGACGAGGTAAATCCGAGCAGTGGTGGGCAGGGTTCTGCTAATCCGCTAACTGCTAATTAGCCAGGCTAACCACCACTGGATCCAAGGCAGAATACCAGTCTGTAACCAGGAACCAACACACGGCTCTTCTAAGTGACCAAACTCCCGGACCGGATACGTTTGGGATAAGAGAGAATGTCACACAAGCAGGAGGGCACACAGCCGCGCTTGGGGGGAGATTCAAACCCGCGACTCCAGAGGCACAGGCCAATGATAATTCCTGCTGGGCCGGCGTGTCACCTCCGGAAGCTTCCGTTACAGACCTGGTGCCCTTGCAGACTGTGTCACTTCCCCCTCCTGCACGACACTGTCCGGCTCATTTAGCGTCAGAGCGCGGCCCCATCTGTTACCGCGGTAATGACAGCATCTTGGCGGACGGCCACGGACATCCCATTATTCATATTCTCCTTGAGGCTCGCCATAAGGCCAGAGTGACGTTTTACAAGATCCCCTGATATGAGATCAGCACCCGCTGCGGGCTGTCGTCCTGCTCCTGGCACTCGCCCGGCCGAGTGGACGCGGAGCTCTGTGTGTGACGCCAGCTGCTCCTGATGGAATCTGCTCAGAAATAAACCTGAGATTAGATTTAGCCGCCTTGGGAGACAATGTACATTTAGATGAAGCGTTTTTTCCCCCGTGATGCACTTTCGCTGCCATAGGCTGTTCTGTCGAGATCTACCACAGTGAGTGGAAGCGTATCAGAATAAAAAAAACTAATAATTATATTAAAATATGAGCGATATACTAAGAAGTATTCTGAAGTTCAGTTTAGGGAAGACTTTATCTTCTATCTGTTTATTAGTGATACCACATCCTGTCACTTGGTTGAAGCTAGTGAGCTCTGAATATTCCCCTAAGGATATAGAAATAGTTTTGTTAAATTTGTTAAATTTAACTATTAATTAATTTAATTATTACCGTGACTTGAATTTCACTACAGGTACACTCACCGCTAGGTTATAGGCTCATTATGTCAGCTTACCAAGGTAATCTGTGAGTGGAGGGACTTTCTGTTGAAGCCTTTGGTTTAGGTTTCCTTGAGTAAGGCAGCTACCCAGCTCAATGGGGTCTTTCAGAGCTGTGGGTAAACTAGCAGTTCCTCAAGTTATGTTCCATTGAATCCATCTTAAGTGGAAAATGTCATAAATCAAATAAGGATATGATATGATAAGTAAATTAATGATTACCGTAGCTAACTAAGTTGTAGTAATTGAAAAGTAAATACATGAATACAGGTTAATCCTATCATTAAATGTACAGTATGGATGATACGTTGGTAAACACTGTGAGGTGTTTACGCTCGCGGTGGCTACAGAAAGCGGAAGCGCGGCTGGTGGACGCTGCCCTCGCCCGGCGTCAGTGGCACGTATCGTACGGCATATCGCTACCCTGGAAACGGATCAAAATTCATACTTTGGTGACAACTGAATGCACGTCAGACCACCATAATGTTGAAATATCGTAAGTCGAATCGTTGTAAAGCGAGGAGCATCTGTATATGTCTCTGCTGGTTTAGCCTTTGCTGATATGCAAATGTTTATTTTCCATCTTTTATTAGCAGCTAAATCCCTGGATGTTTGGCTCCATTGTTTCGGCCTCAGTGTGTTGCTGTCGTTTGAGGTTACCATGGCGACGTTCCAGTCCTCTTCCTGTTGTAACTGACCTGCCACGGCTCTTTGTGAACATGCAGAGGAAAAATGTCACGGTGGACGGTGGCTTTGGCGCCTGGTCGGGCTGGAAGGTGTGCGGCCACAGCGACGGCGGCGCCGTGGGCTCCTGCCTCTGCCGGACGCGGGCCTGTGACACCCCCCCGCCGCAGTGCGGGGGCCAGCCGTGCATGGGCTCTGCTGCAGAGGTCACCAACTGCTCCAGGTATGTGAGCCTGTCATTAAAACGACCCTCAGGAGACCTGCAATGACGGGCATCAGCACTCTCCCTTTGGTAGTGCCGATTTTACATGGTTGTTAACGGCTCATTGGTGAACACGAACACAGGCTTGGGCAGTATCTACTCTAATTTTTCCTGCAGACAGTAAACTGTAGTATTTTGATGGTATTTTTGAAAGCAATGCTACTTCCTTATTTTTAAATCTTGGCATTAACATACAATATGCCCAAAGTACCATGGTATACTGTAATACCGGCCAAGCCTAGTATAAAGGCTCATTAATACCCTGAAACAGGATGGATGCGCACAGCTGCAGACACGCTCACGGACGGCAGGCCTCCCCGTGCCTCAGTCAGCCGCCTCCCCGTGCCTCAGTGAGCGGCCTCCCTGTCTGCCACACATTTCCTGTCTCTCTGCTTTCAGGAACGGAGCGTGGACGCCGTGGACCCCATGGGCACCTTGCAGCACCAGCTGCGGCATCGGCTTCCAGGTCCGCCGGCGCTCCTGCAGCAACCCCAGCCCTCGACACGGGGGCCGTGTGTGCGTGGGCCAGAACCGCGAGGAGAGGTGGGGGTCCCCCAGGCCGGCGGCGTCTGCGTCGCTCCAAATCCCACGGCCTGTTTCAGATGGATTTATCGATGTGTCTTCGTCCAGTGAACATCAGGCTGAGAGGCGTAATTACAAAATGCGCCTTGGAAAATAAGCCAGTTTCTCATGCAGTGTTTCCCAACCCGTTCCTCTGGGGCCCCCAGACAGTCCGCGGTTTCCGCCTAGCCGACATGCCGTCACTCTGCTTTCAGGAACACAGCCTGGACTGTGGACTGTCTGCCAGGGAGCTGGGAGGGAGCAAAAATGTGAACTGTCTGGGAGGGAGCTGGGAGGGAGCAAAAACGTGGACTAGATGGGGGTCCCTCACGACTGGATTGGGGAGCACTGATCTAATGCAGGGGTGGTCTTATCCAGAAAGAGTCGTCTTTGCGGATGAGATTGGCCCCCCTACTCTAATGCGTAACGTGTAGGAGGAAGACTCGCAGTGCAGGAGTGCAGCTGAGGATTCCAGGCCGTGGTGGGAAAGCCTTCGAAGGCCGTCCTTTGTTTTCTCCACACAATCCAGTGATGGTCTTAGCTTCTCCTTTTCCAGATTCACAGTATGCTTCACCTAAGGCTTATTTTCTTCTGAGCAAATATCGCATGTCTGATTATGATTATGTGAGCCTGTGTACATTTTATATGTTTCATCCGCAGATATAAGTTGTACGTTTTTCTTAATGCATCTTCAAGAGTGGAGATAAAAAACCTAATGCGATTTTCAAGCAGCCTAACAGATGCATTCATCTCAAATCGTGCAGCTTTTATTAGCATATAGACACAAAGGGGAGGAAATGCAGCAACTGCATTGTTTTCCTTCTATGAAGTTTCATGCCTTTAGCATGTTATAATGGTGCCTAATTTCCTAATGAGCCTCCACTCTACTGCCTATAATGTCCAGTCTGCCAGTGCTTTTGTGCCTTTTGAAGTCAGTGAGCTGTTTACTCGAACCCTCTGATCGCCCATCCGTTTACCACGGCCATTCCCACAGAGTCACGGTGACCCTGAGCTCCGTTCCAGGCAGCGGGGCGCAGAGGACACCCTGCACAGGGTGCCACTTCCCCACTGGACACTGGCATTCCAGCTAAATCGAGCGTCTTTGGACTGAAATGGAGTACCCAGAGGAAGCCAGCCGACCCCGAGCCCCTGGAGGACTGAGCTGCCCTCTAATTGGACACAGATCTGAACACGGTGCAGCCGCACACCTGGTGTGCAGCCCTGATGCTGTCAGTTGGCATTAGAGCAGGTGCAGTGCGGTCCAGTGCAGGCAGGGGACCATCGGCTACTCTGTGGCTCCTGTGCAGTGCAGTCCTCCATGCTCTTTATGTAACTGCGGTTATCTGAGTGCCCTGATCCCAGAACTGTGGAGTGCAGTCCTCCACGCTCTTTATGTAACTTCGGTTATCTGAGTGCCCTGATCCCAGAACTGTGGAGTGCAGTCCTCCACGCTCTTTATGTAACTGCAGTTATCTGAGTGCCCTGATCCCAAAACTGTGGAGTGCAGTCCTCCACGTGCTTTATGTAACTGCGGTTATCTGAGTGCCCTGATCCCAGAACAGCTGGTTTTAAGCCCAGTCGTGGTGCAGGAAGTTAAGTTTTAACTGTGTGGGTACTCTTCAGTGGGGAGGTCTTAGTGTTCAGTATTCATCTGAGGAGAAAGCAGGCTTGGAGGAAGCTGGAAGCAGAACCACTGCTCCTTCAGTTTGTGATGTTTGGCAGCGTGTGGCTCCGTGGGCTAAGGCTCTGTGCCAGTGATCGGAGGGTCGCTGGTTGAGCGACAGAATCAGCAGAATATTCACGTCTGCAGACCCTTGAGCAAGGCCCCTAACCCCCTGCTCCATGGTTGCCACTGTGGGTGGTTGACATTCGTGCTTTTGCTTATGTATGTGTCTGTGTGTCAAGGAGAGCAAGATGGGGCAGGAGAAAAGGGAATTTCCCCATGAGGATCAATAAAGTGTCATTATTATTATTATAATAAGCATGCCATCTGGGCAGCTTCCGGGATGTTCTGGCCACGTGCCATTCAGTGGAGGCCCATCGTGGACACAGGACACATTGGAGTGATTATATCTGTCAACTGGCATTGAAACCAGCCCGAATGAGTCTGTGGCAATGAAAAAAGATGTCTGTGTGACCAGCAAGGCGTGCTGCCACCTCGACCCTCACCTGGAGGAGAAGCTGATGAGGATGGTGACGAGGGCAGTAGTGGTGATGATGATGACGATGGTGATGATGATGGTGATGATGGTGACGATGATGATGGTGATGATGATGGTGATGAGGGCAGTAGTGATGATGATGACGATGGTGATGATGATGGTGATCATGGTGATGGTGACGATGGTGATGATGGTGACGATGATGATGATGGTGATGATGGTGACGGTGATGATGATGGTGACGATGGTGATAGTAATGATGGTGATCATGGTAATGATGAATGGTGGTGGTGATGGTGATGATGATGGTGACGATGGTGATGACGATGGTGATAGTGATGATGGTGATGATGGTGGTGGTGATGGTGATGATGATGGTGATCATGGTGACGATGATGATGACGATGGTGATGACGATGGTGATAGTGATGATGGTGGTGATGGTGATGATGATGACAATGGAAGTCTCACTCTTTTGTATATTTCCTCAGAGCTTGATGTCTTTGGCGTCTCAAACATGCAGGCTGGTTTGTGTGATTGAAGAAGTGAGCACTGGGCTTTTCATCACAATTTCTGGCAGCCTGACAAGTGTGCGGTATTGCAGCCATATATGCATTACCTTCCGCTTCCTACAGGGGGCACACTTGTGCCATGCATCTATTTCTTTACATGTTAGAGATGCTGCACTGTTTACATTCAGGAGTCTTAATCATCCTGAGGTGAGATTTTAATGTTCACTCACTTAAACGTGTGCATCTACGCCCAATGCCTACTTATCAGTTAGAAAATGAGTGGGGAAAATTCACTATTGATTCACAAGGCACGTGGATTAGAATCAGGAAGAGAGCAAATTGCTCCCATTGACTGTCGCGGAATCGAGCTGAATTATAAATATCTCTCTATAGATTTTTTACTTTTCTCTCTTGTCCGCCACCCTAGGTACGAACTGATCAATGACCTTTTTAGGGCATTTTAAATTTCTGACAGCAGAGTGCTGGAAGTGGAACAAGAGGCCTCTTTAAAGACTAGACAAGTAACAGATACATGTTGCTGGAATTGCTGTTGCCATGACAACGGATTATGGCCAATTTGGCTTTATTGGAGTAGCTCAATTTGCGCAGTTCAGACTTGAAAGTACTATTATTTAGAGTTCTTGATCTTAAAAATCTAATTCCCAGTCATTTCTACGCTCACGTTTATAACTGATTAAGTTGGAGTAATATGTACGAGGAGGATGGGGGTGCGGCCATCTTGGGGGGAAAGTCAGGTCACTGAGTCATATCGATTGGTCCAATCCTGTTGCTCTCTCCAGGATGCAAACACTGGGCTTCACTCTGCTCCCTGCTGCCCCTGGTGACCTCGATCGCGGCTCACAGAGCCCCAAGGCCTCTCATTCCCTTTCACATCTTCATTTCCCCATTCAGCCTTGATGCGTCCATCCAGTGTTGATCTGTCTTGCTTCTGCTTTCAGTTGCTGGTTTTTTCCTGTGTGAGTCTCACTGGCCGGAAGCCCCCCTCCTCATCACGGAAATGGCTCTCTGTGGAACCAGGCTCTTATTCTTTTGCTGTCTTAAAATTCTCAACCGAATTGTACATTTCGTTGTAAAAATCGTACACAAAGCAAAGCCCCAGAATGTCTCTGGTCCGTGAGAACACATAAGCGGGTTATCAGACCAGCATTCATGCATCCACTCTCTTAATTTTACTATTTTAACCATCTCTCTGAAATGAAATGACATTTCCCAAGCTGCTGATCTGACATTTTTTCCCCAGTTTTGCTATGGCTAAAAGTGGAAAATATTACCAGATAAATAACGTAATTTAGGGGGAAATGCAGTGCATGATATCAAATGACCTATTAATTTACGTTCCGGCTCATTTCTTAAAATCGTTCTGCTTTTTTTTTACTTCCTTAATCATCTGTACAATCGTTGGCCACGTTGTAGGGTGGGAAACGGGACGCTGGTTCCTTATGAAGCTGTTTTTGTTTCTGGAGCGAGACCCATCTATAGAACAGGATTAACTCTCCGGAGGATTATTCTCCGCCACGTGTCATTTCAGTGTGGGGTTTGTGTTCATTGACCGTAAACTGCATGCAGGCCTTTGGGAATGCGCTTCCAGTGCTTCTGGTCCTTTTATCCTTGCGGAGGACCAGCTCAATGCACCCATCTATTTTACAGAACAAAGTTTGGTGCAACTGGGCCTGCGTTCCATTTGTTGTTATTTCCGGAATAACTAGCCTGCTGAAAAACAGTCTGTGTCATGGGTGTTCTGAAGCTACACCTGGTCTGTGTTTCCCTGAACAGGCTGCCCACCCTAACCCCTGCATTCTCCCCCAACCCCCTTAGGTACTGCAACGAGCATCTGCCCTGCCCACCGCACGTTTATTGGTCCAGCTGGTCGCCGTGGGAACGCTGCACGGTTCCATGCGGTGGAGGGCTCCAGGCACGGCGCAGGACCTGCGAGAACGGCGACGACTGCGCTGGATGCGGCCTGGTACCCATGCGGCCGATGAGCTCCCAACGCTAGACTCCCTCGATTCATATCGGAGGAATTTATGCAAAATTATCACGCTAAGCTGTTCCTCCACATATCTCGTATTCTGTGTACTAGTGTCAGGCAGCTGTTTGGTTTACCATACTCAGCAATCTCATTCATGATTCTGCTGCAACACACTGCCTGGCAGCTCATAACGACGCGATATCCCAGTATCCTTAGCTAGAAATGATTACCGCATTGAAACTGACGGTGCGGTTTCACGAGGGTAAATTGAGCATTTAATCTGACATATCTACACCGCCACCAACGCTCTCCCAGCACTCTCCCCAGACTCGAATGAAAATGAAACACAAATCTCAATTATCTGGCGCGCCTCTGCAAAACCGCTAGCATCCTCTGTAAATTCATGACAGTCAAAGCAGACGACTCCTCCAGCTCAACCGGCTGGTGAAATCAAGCCCATGCGCTGGTCAGTTGAGCAAATATTATTTGTCCTGTCAAACGAGGATTTACTCTGTTATCTGGGCTCCATTTGTGCAACTAGACGTTTGTTAGCATTCTGACACCCGCTGCTGTTGACTTTTGTCTGTGTGCCAAGAGCAAGTTTGTCTTGCGCTCTGTTTGGACTTGTTTGTAAAAGTGTGGGGTTTGTAACGCACATCTCTCCGTGGAAAGAGACGCTGCCTCATGGCAAGGAAGAGGGATGAAAGAGGCCATGCTACTGTCAGCTTGGACTTCAGAGAAAAGGGCGAGCTTGTTATTTTGAAGCCGTTTTGGTAGTGAAACCAAGGATAATAAACACGCACATTTTTTGCAGTATTGACTAAATTAAATGTGTAAATGTGGACAGTTTTGTTTGCCAAAAGTTATACAGCTAGACAGCTTTGAACGTACTGATTTGATAAGAGCCAGAGAGGTCTGCAATTACGGCGGTCATTCGGTCTTCAACTCCAGGCAGGAAGACCCTTTATCTGTGATCATCAACGGTGTATTTTTTTAAATTGCAGAAGACAATTTACCCCAAGACCATGGAAAGAGTTTGTGCAAAGAACCATGACGTACAGCTTTTTTTGTTTTCCTATGTATAGCCGTCCTTGGCCCAAGACTGGCCCTATCTTTATGAGAACTCCAAAGGCTGTCATTGAGATCATCTCACCCTTACAATTACATGTCGGTATGTGTGTGTGTGTATATTTTCCATGGAGATCCATTGTACAATTGAAAGGAAGCTTCTGGTCTCTTTAAGCAGCATTTAATGAGTGTGTCTTTAAAATCTGCTCCTTTAGTGGCTTTATAAACCCGGGCTTAGCAACGTTGAGTGAGACTCAATTAGAAGCTTGCTTAAAGTTGTGGAACGCAGTATATTTGTGAGGGTAACTCTGGCCTTAAGTGATATATAAGTGAGAGTGCTGTTAGATTTGTGGGATTGCCCATCTGTCTTGACCAGCAGTTATCCAGATGTGATAGTGCAGTTATGTTGCAGTAATGCATATTATTCTGGGCTTGCAGAACATAAGTTTCAGTCTCTTTCCTTGGGAAAATCCAAAATGCACTGTTTTCTGCATTCGGAGCAGGTGTTTAGCATCAGGTGATCAGGTGATCGATGACCCATAATGAAGACTTGATCTTGTTAAGAGTAAGCTGTGTGTTCATTAGTTCACCCAATGACAGGGCAGCTCTCTCTGTGCCTGCCTCTCATTGGCCGGCATCCCCATTCTGCCCTGGTAGCCCCTGTTAACGATCCACCTTTTGCTGTCACATATTTGGGCATTCATTACTGTGTGTATTTGAATGAACCAGATGCCTAGCAGCTCTTAGTGGGCCAGATTGCGGGGGACAGGTTGAAATGTCAGTTACGCTGTCTGCAAAGAGGAGCTGAAATGGGATTGAATGGGATTTTAGCATTTAGAAGTTTAAACTATTTGGAACCTGTGGACCTTCTGAATCTTGTTTCACCCACAAACCAGAACAGAAATTTTTAATAATCTTGAAAGACATTTCTTTTCCATTTTCACCACACACTACTTAAACAGGAATACGTTCAAATATTTACAATAATCTGGTAGCAAATGGTCTTTTTTTTTTAACGTCAATTTGAGTGAAAACTCAGTTTCTTAGATTTGCTTTTGTCCGATAATATTTCTGTAAATCCATCTTCGCTTGCCGAGT